AAACCTAAACCCTAAACCTCAAAAACCCAGAGCCCCCGAACCTGCTTCTTCAGCTTTGCACACTCCGTCTCCCATGCCTCTCGGTCCAAACAGTCCTTGCGTCTCATCGTCGCAATTATACTGATTCTAATCATATTTATGCGTCTAATCTTAATTACAGTCATGATCATTACAAGTCTAGTCATCAGTGTATCTATACTGAAGCCTGATACTATTGTTTGTAATATCTCAGCTAAGTTTCTGTCGTTAACCATTTCTCATCGTTCTTATTATGCAATACATGTCAGTCAAGCTGAATAAAGTATAACAAGTATTGGCTGTGGGTAGTGTTTCGTCCACGGAATCGGTTTAGGGGCAAGTGGTGCAATAGACTCATTTCAGCCTGTATCCTGGGGCGCCGGATCTTTATAATATAGGGGTCTTAATAATTCGAACACGGTTTTGGAGGCCCATTATACAAAAAAATAATAAGGAACCCTCACAATGATGTAGGTAATTAAACCCTAAACCCTAAACCCTTAAGGCCCCTATATTACCCATATGATTGAGGCTTTAAGCTCCTCAGTCCCCTATTCAAGGTTGTCCTACGCAGTCGTAGCCTGAAGCCCTAATCCTTCAAGCCCGAACCACCTTAAAACCCTACATTGGTCTAAACCATATAAACCTTAAACCCTAAAACCCCCAAGCCCGAAACCCTAAAACCCCTAAACCCCTAAACCCTAAACCCTAAACCCTAAAAAACCCTAAACACTTAAACCCCTAAACCCTAGTGCAGTGCGGTCCTTGCGAGTCTCGCCTTCCGACTGCTTCTTGCAGGCAAGGGGGTCGTTATAAGAGCTTCCCGCCTGCGCTGATTCCACGGTTTAGGGTTTAGGGTTGAGGGGCTTACCATCAAGGCGCTATAGGACGGGGTTGTGGAGGTTTGTCGGCTTTGCAGCATAAGGGCTGTAACGATTATACCCTATGCAGTGGCACTTGCGCCGCGTTGCCTCTGTCCCTGCTCTTTGCCCGAATGAACTGCTAGGGCGGGGCTTTTCCGGAGGATCCCGAATGAATGGATTTTGGACTTTCTACCGGTATAAAGGAAGGCCCTGACTACCTCATCAACCGCAGCCCACGAACATTTATGAGAAATAAAAAATGAGTTCATACAGGGGCTCCCATTATGACATCCCAAGTAAATCATTCAATCAGCAATGATTTCATACTGGGGCTTCCATTATAACATCAGGGGCAGACACTCCTTGCCAAAGCGGCTAGCATCAAAAACTGCACCCTCGATCCCAATGCCGACCATCAGACCCTGACTCCCCCAAAGCCAAGTCTCTGATGTAGGGGCCTTAATAATTAGAATAGGTTTTGGGGTACATTATATACTATAGTTAGCATAAGGAGCCCCATTAAAATAATATGGGTATGTATTAAGGCGCCTAACAGAATTGAGCCCGTATGGAAAATAACCTCAGGAACGCCACCTAAACCCTCTCAAGGCCCGAGTTCGAGTTCCCCAAGCCACCAACTTCTCCTGACTCCTAAGCCCTACCTGCAGCCGAAAAGACCTACCTTTTTAGGGTTCCTTATTATGGTTTCTATACATATATATATATATATACTTGCTTAAAAAGGTAGGTCTTTCCGGCTACAGGTAAGTCTTAGACCGCCAAGCCACCAACTTCTCCAGCTTGTCCAGACTGGACATGGCAAAATCGCTGTCCGACGGCTTTAGCTTGGCATGCGCTGCCTCGGCAAGCAGAATTCCTTCCTAGCATGTTTACGTGCCTTCTCTTGCACTTATTTGTGGACGCTCAGAGTGTGAAGTTAAACCCCAAACCCTCAAACCCCTAAATCCCTAACCTGTGGTTTGATCTTCGAGTGGGTGTAGGATTTTGACGTTTGGGGTCTTGGGAGCCGAGGGTCCTGGGGGCTTCCTGGAGTTCAAGGATTCCTGAGCACGCAAGGATATGGGTTTAGGGCTTAGGGTTTAGGGTTGAGGGTTTAGGCTTTAGGGTTTAGGGTTGAGGGTTTGAGGCTTAGGAGGGTTTAGGGTTTAGGGTTGGGGGTTTTGGGAAAGGCTTATCCCATAATATACAGACATGTACCAAAAGCCAATACTATGATGTTTACTTGAGTATACTACATAAGAGTTTCTTCAGGATGTGTATGTTCAGGATCCGTAAATGCGGTCTGCGTTTGGCTCCCCAAGGGGTGTGTCATACAGCTAGAAGTCTTGTAGGGCCTTGACAGGTGGGACGAGGGCAGGTAGGATTAAGGATCTGTGCACCCTGACCGCCTGAGGCGCAAACACCGCTATACTAGTCGACCTGAAACATACAAAAAAACAGGTCCCTCGCCTCAGCCCCGCCAGCTACCGAACCTTATTTCACCCTGTCAAAAAACACGTGGTGCGCACCTGGAAACCCAAAAACAAATATCAATAGCACTAGAAGAGATACAACTCTGAAAGCTCTTCACGACCCTAAACCCTAAATTCCTGAACCCCTAACTCCTAATGACCCCAATGCCAGACAGAGTCCTGCCAGTATGAATTGCATGCTTTGATAAAACACAAAACAATATCAAACCCTAAATTCCTGAACCCTTAACTCCTAATGCTGGAGCCCGGCCTGCGATGCCAGGGCGGCCGGCAGCGCCCAGAGCACCGAGCGCCGGCAGGGCGGAAGAAAGGCAGAAGTGCCTGAAAACAAGCAGTTAAGGGCTAAAGTTTCGGGCTTAAGGGGGGTTCAGGGTTTAGGGTTTAGGGTTTAGGGTTTGGGGTTTAGGGTTTAAGGGGTGTGTTTGTTTCTAAAGCAGGTGGTTGAGTTTAGGGCTTCTCGGTTTGTTCTGTATAAAATGAGTGCTAAGGGTCTAGGGTTGAAAGGTTCGTTTCTTCTATACGGTATTGATTCTCAGGATTTTAGGCGTTGGGCCTCTGGGAGTTTGGGAGTTTGTGGTGTTCGGGTTTAGAGATGCCTGCGCCAACCTTGATGTAGTAGCGGTGAAACCCTAAAATTAATGGCAAGCCGAAACCCACATCAAGCACACGCGGTCATCTCAGGTCGCTTTTTTTAGTCACTCCAGAACCGAGACCTCGAAAAGATCCCTGAGACATCCCTCATGGAACTTTCATCGTCCCTAAGGGATATAGGGTTTAGGGTTTAGGGTTTAGGGTTTAGGGGTTTAGGTATAGCTGTATGTAGAACCTTTGCATCTCGTCATCGTCCGGGGAAGTTTGAGCTCCATCTCATCCCAACCCAACACATAGACCGTTAGTCCTAAAACTAAACCCCTAAACCCCTAAACCCTAAACCCTAAAACCCTGAACCCTAAACCCTAGACCCAAAACCCTTAAAACCCCTAAACCCTAAACCCTAAGCTATACTGTTTGAGGGGTCCAAGGAGGTCGGAGCTC